CCTTCAGGACTTTCCTAGCCTTGCAAAACACTGAGACTTTGTGATAAAATCTAGACTATGACATGCACATAATCACTACAAACATGAGACTGTGAGACCCTTGGAATTCAATAAGCATTTTGCAAGACCTTTGGTTTTTGAAGGAGCATTCACCAACCCTTTCTTTGAAGTGTGTGTCTGTAGCAATTGTCTCTACTATATATAGTCTTGTTGATGTTTCTTTCCATGCAGCCATTGTCCTTAAAGACATATGCAGCAAGGTTTTCAACTCTTCTTTATGCCGAGGAACTACAAATGGAGGTAGACATGAGAGAATTTGACATGGAAAGGGTAAGGATGTTTTAATTTGTTGGTCACAGAAATAATGCGATACAGTTTAATTAATAGTCTCAAGATGACGTAGCATAAACAGAATTCTTTGTGTGAATGATCTGTGCACTCCATATCATCTTGAGACTGTTTAGTTGTACATGCATACGTACTAATTGATATTATTTGCAGCTCTTTTGTGGTGGTCTGATGGTTTCAAAAGGTTTCATTTTGAGCTTTCCATTTAATCCAGAGCGCCTGTGTTCTTGGGCAAGATTCTTCTCTCAGTACCTCTCTCACCTAAGTGTATAAATTAAAGAAGCTAGCTAAATTCTGGGGAGTAACTTGTATGTTTTAGCATGCCATCCAGAAATGAGAACTAATGCTCCAAGTTGATTCCTGCTGTAAAAACAGTGATAGGCTTTGCCTGTCTTGGGGAATTTTGGTTATGTGTAGATGTTACTATAGCCTACATACCCACATACTGCTTGACGTCTACAGGCTAATGTTGATTAAAGAAAATAAAGATGGTCTGAATCTGGAAAATTTAACTTGAAATAAATGCAAAAACCCTCAAGAGAATGTTATTTTATTGGCCAATATTGACAGGACAGTAAATAAAATGTAGTTACATTTTTAATATCATGGGTGAAAAATTTTGGTGTGAAATTTCAGCGTTAATTTACAATAAATTTATTTCACGTGTGAAGTTAGAAAATTGCCATGGCAACATGTGGTACCCGATTGTAGAATAATTTGTTACCCATGATACTTATACATGTAGGCAATCAAAATAATGGTATACTCGTGAAATTAAGAAGTAAGAATTATTTTTCAGTTACTTGCATTTTGTCAAAATAACTCCCTCACCTAAAGGCTTGGAAAATTATCAGAATTTTGACAAAGCGCACATTTCCTAATCTCACTCGTCACCATTTCATTGCCCACCTTCACCTCTCTTCAGGTGAACATGAATGTGTGTCGTGAATTTCTTAGTCTCACTGTGCCAGGGTTAGCAGAAGGAAGACCCTCGCTGTTGCTTGGCGACAAGATTGTTGTCTGTCTTACAGGTATGATGCATCTCAATGCTGCTCACAGTACATACTTATTTTTGTTCATAGAAGAGCTCTTCTTTAATCATGTTTAGAAAACAGTCCTAAGAAAATACGCGCGCTGATTGGTTAAAAATCGTGTTTCTATAACTCGATGGAACACAGAACTAGCACGAGCTGTTGACGTAATGATGGCGTGAGCAAAGCGAATTTACACGTAGGCCCAGTTCATACGTCACATTTCTACCGTGTCGATCGATTTCAATTCAATTAAGTACGGNAGGTGCTTTAATGTAGCTATACGCTGCGGTATTTCGTGTAGCTTTAGCGCAGAATCTATTTAGGGATTTTCCTGCTTCGCTATCAACGTGATGTTTATAACCTCCGCATGTTTTCTAGATCTTTCACAGAATTCCTTCCAGCCGAATTCTGGCTTGTGCCCCGTCAAATAGCGCCGCTGATTTAATTGTGAGTACACATTGCACTAGAATGTCCTAGAAAACAGATAGTAAACTTGATAACATAAAATGAGATGTGTTACTACATTATTGGAAGTCTGGCAAAATTGGTTCTTGTACTTTGGGGTAGTTATTGGCAATTTATGAAGGAGTTATAGTTGTTGATTATCAAAAAAATAAATAAACGTGGGTTTCATCCTTGAATATGCAGTATTTATTCACAACTGTGTTATATATTTTCTTGTAATATAGACTCCCATCTCAGTCACACTTCTTGGTTAAAATGTTATCATGATTTTAACTGTAACCCACATATAAGAACCTGCTTAGTCTTGCGAGAATTTAAGTTTCCATTTGCAGATAAATTCTCAGTGTCCCTTAGTTGACTCGTTGGTCAGCCAAGTTTTAGAAACCAGTAGTAAAATTTTAAAGTTGTACAAACTAGGGGACGAAAAGTGAAATAAGCGTTGGCCAATGTTTCGCAGTGTGTGTGTGTTTTTTTTTGTTGTTGTTGTTGTTGTTTTTTCGCAGTATTTTGTTGTATTGCGTCAAAAGGTATCTTCAATTTAGCTTAATGATAGATTCCAGATACGACACTCAAACAGGAGAAACAAATATTTCAGATAAACGTAACACTGGTGAAGGATCCAGCTGGCAGAGGGCCACACCAGTAAGCTTTTAACAACACAAGGACGAGGAGTAAAGGAACTCAGTCACAGTATTATGAGTGATTTTGGCCACGTCCAAAATTACCTTTAAATGAAGGAAACCTGAAAATAATAGTTTACTAAGATAGAAGAACACCAAAGAGATAATAGTAAACCATAAAGGAACAAGAAAGGTTAAGGATGAAGAAGATTAACACGGATTGCAAACGACGAACTTGAAAAATTTAGGCTTAACTTTTGGAGATGCTCAAACTGTGACGTAGTTTCTTTAAACTCGAGACCACTGGGACAAAATCCAGTTATCAGCGAGATGCAACACTGAAACGGGATTTCAAACCCAGCGCCTGAAACCACTTTGCCACGCTGCCTCTCTAGGTATCAGTCAAGCAGACCGTTTTAGGTTTAATAACATCAGTTTATTTTACTTTTTTTCAGGCAGAACGACTTCACGTGAGCGGTTTTATTCAAGAAGGAGACATGGTCCGACTGAATGCTATCCAGCGAGCGCAGAGTATCCCAGAATCCATCATTCCGTACTGCACTGACACAGATCAGTTGGACATGGCGGCGCGTTATCGCGTCATGATCTGCACATGCAGTACAGCGGGTCAGCTGTATTCCCTGGGATTACGGGCAGGTCATATCACGCATGTATNTTGCTACGATCCACTTCTAGTTACCAAACTGATAAATAATTATCGTTCACACCCAGCTGTGCTCAAACTCTCCTCTGCTGTTTTTTACCATGATGAGCTCAAGCCCTGTGCTGATGTGCGGATGCGGGAAAGTTTGTGTCAGTGGGAAAGGCTTCCAAACAAAGGATTTCCAGTGATTTTTCACGGCCTGAAGGTAAAGTTGTACACGTGCATGGTCAAAGGAGCTCATTCACGATACTTTGGCCACGTGTAAAATTACCTTTACATTGAAGGGAACGTGAAAATAGTAGTTAACTAAGATAGAAAAACACCAAAGACATAACAATAAACCGTCAAGGAACAAGGTTGGCTAAGGATGGAGGAGATTAACACGGATTACAAACGACGAACTTGAAAAAATTAGGTTAAACGTTTAAAGATGAGCAAAGAAAGGATTTTACATCTGGATATCACAAAAACCTCATCCAATGATTGTTTAAACACGTCATTTTATAGAGCAAGGATACCCGTTCATCGAATTCTAAACGCTTGCTCACGCCGTTGATTTAGTTCGCGCCAAGTTACTGGCTATGTTAAAATAGTAGTTCATTTTCATTGCTTTACAATAGAGCGGTTTCCTTGTGAGTGTCGTAAAACCAAAACCAAAGTAATCACTCTAGCCAATCAGAAAGGACACAGACAATGCATTAAACCAATCAAAGCTCGAAGTAATTACATGTAGCTGACGCAAAGCGCGGGAAAACGCGTGCGAGTGACTCGCGATTGGTTTTGGTTTCGCTTCTGACTGGATGAAAAAATGACGCGAGGTTTTAAGCCAATCGTGTAGTTTGATGCAAAGCCAGTTACTTTTGTACACTCAAATGAAAACCGTTCAACTTTTCAATGCTAACTATAGCTGTTTTTGTTTTAGGGAGAAGATATTCGTGAAGGTAACAGTCCATCATGGTTCAACCCAGTGGAAGCTGTTCAAGTTGTGAAGTATTTACAGTCTCTCAGATCAAGCGACAAGTTCTCCCTCAAACTCACTGATATCGGTGTCATTACTCCTTACAGGAAACAGGTTTGTACCGCAAGTCCTTCATCTGTTGTCTTAAGCTGTTCCCATTGTTCGTCGATCAAGAAATGATAAAAGAGTAGGAAAATTGACGGGCGTACCAATTTACGCCCGGAAATTTCATGTTCTTCTTGTTGTTTTGTTTTGTTTTGTTTGTTTGAAATAAGTGAAAGCTGCTTTCGGTTTAACAGTTATTCTATAAGTTCAAATCCTTATTACAGTCGAACCCC